TTAATTATAACAAAATGGTGGTACATACTGAACCGAAATATTTTTTGTTCGTTTTTGCTCACCCCTGATATAGCTTATACATCAGAATAAGACATAGTCTATAATTTATATACATATTTTATTCATATCTGTCTTTCAGTTTGAATGTTACGCCTTCAGCCTATTCTACGCAGACGTAGTCGCGGGCAGCAGCTAGTAAAATCTAAGTAGGATAGACTCTCTTGTAAAAAATTACATTTATTTAAGTTATCAGTCAGACCCAGGGCCGGATTTAGGAGAGGTCAACCGGGGCTACAGCCCCGGGGCCTCCACAGAAGAGGGGCCCCCACAATAGAGACTAAACAATTTTTAAATTTTATTTTTTTATTTATATATTCGTTAATTATAAAAATAATCTATACCTACTTGTTTCCACAATAAATTATTTATTGAAAAACGCGACTAAAAAAAATTTTTCATTTTATTTGGAAAATAATTGGAGTCTCCTCCGTTTACATTACCCCGTACGGAGTACGCTTGAATACATAAGTACCCACATGTCATGGGCGGTACACGCTTGCGAGTCGGGTTGAGTACGGGCCGCGCGCGTAAGAACACCGATTCGTTATCTGTCAGCTGCTGTAAACGATATGTTTTTTACATTCACTCAACTTCTTAAAAACATTAGGATAATTATTTTTTAATTATAGTTGTATAACAATTTTCATTAATTGCCGAAATTTTACTTCCCTTGTCTTACATTTTAGTATTATATCGTCTATTTTAACGTATGGGCTCCGGCTACCTCACTCACCAGACGAAACGTGAAAGTATTATACTTCCACTTTACACTGGTCTTCTGTGAGGTCACATATAAATAAAAAATGTTTCAGTTGGCGGTATGAAAATTTTTATCCATTTACACAAGGTAATGTGCCCCTTCAGAGATACGATTAAAGCGACGATTTCCACGTTGTATATTTATCATAAAAAAACTAAACCTATTGTTTTTTTTAAATTACACAAGAAATAAAATATTAGTTTTTTATTATTATTCATAAGTGGCAATTGAGCTGGCGGTTCACCTGATTTAATATGATAACCGCCGCCCATAGACATTAGCAATACCCGCAGGGTTGCAGATGCGTTGCCACCTTTTAATAAAGTAGGCTCTGGCTAACTCACTAACCAGGCGAAACGTAGAAGTACTTCCACTTCAAGCCGGTCTTCTGTAAGGTGGTGGTACTTACCCGAACGGATCTGCCTATTAGAGCAACAGCGAACTCTATTGCGTGGCACTACCACAGTTAGAAACAAAACACCTGTAACACATTATGCACATATAATAACACATAATTTTGTAGCAACTACCTGACCTGTAAACGTTGTTTTGCCACATAAATTATTTCAAGTGAATGTGTGAATCTGAATACACGGAAAAATAATTTTCGGAATGCAACCATAAAATGTTTGACAGTTTGTATGGGAAAATAAAATTGTTGCTAATTCGATTTTCCATGCAATTTTTCCATAATTTCTCATCGTTTAAACCGTCCCTGGACTGCCACAAATATTTCAAAACCAAAATTAGCCAAATCGGTCCAGCCGTTCTCGAGTTTTAGCGAGACTAGCGAACAGCAATCCATTTTTATATATAAGATAGATTTTTTCTTGTTGGCGTGGTGGAAATGTCTACGCATACCCCTCCCTCGCACGCCCTCGGGGGGCAAGAGCGGGTTATGTCGGACTCGCACCGACCAAAACCCCCACGATGTTACACCTAGGCGCATATCGGCAGGATCACTGGAACGCTTTCGCACTGTTCCGCGACCCTGCCAGCGCTGGCCGCCCTAGCAGCCCCCTTATGTGGAGCTACTCCCCTCTCCTCCAGGTAAGGCGCGCTGAATCATTCACCGCGCCTTCCTACTCGGCCCCATTTTCACGGCCAACGAACTCCCCCGAGTTCTGACCGGGGCCATGGGAGCCAGGAGAGCCAGTACTAATAAGTAGCAAGCCTCCCAGCCCCCAGCAGTGGACCTGGTCTGTGGCTCCGCCGCTCACCACGTTTTGGCCGCGGAGGATAGGGAGAACGACGCACCGCAATACCGAAACTCCTCTCCCCCTGCGGCCCCACCACCACTGCATCAGCGATGCAGCCCCGCCGAGTCACGGAGGATAGGGAGCACAGCCAACGCAACACCGACAACTCTTTTCCCCCGCGACTCCTCCTCGGTAGCAGAAGACAGGAAGAGTGGCTCCACCTCTACCACCCTCAACCTGTCCCCTGCTCAATCGGAGCGGCCCTCTCGGGCCGGCCTTACACCACAGGCCGGCCCAGTATGGGTTCCTCTTAGCTTCGCCGTGGGGGACCAAGCCCAGGGGCTACTAAGCCCCTCCGCCACGTCAAGGCGGGAACCCGGTCGGAGGGGATATATAAGATAGATAACACAATATAATTTAACATAAGAAACTAAGAGCCTCGGGGTTGTGTCCCCATGTGTCGTCGGGCGAGTCTCGGGCTGGCAATGGCCAACGGCTTGTCGGCTAAAGCTGGGTCCAACCGCAGCAGGCTTATATGAGCTGAGGCGGTGCTACAACCAATAACATGGTCCTCTGGTATTAGTGAGAAGTGCGTTCTACGGCCTATGGCGAGCTGCCCACGGCTCTTCACGACCGCCGGAATTCTCGTGGTAGCGGAAAGCCATCAGGCGGGCGGGCGAGAAGTGGCGTTGGATTGTGCAAATGTGGTTCATTGTCCACGCTGTCGAACATTCGAAACGCTAAACGGGCCACAAACTCCGAGATGGTTTGGATTTTGAGGTCTCTTGCGATAACGTTATTCCAGATGTACCGCGCCGCTGCCACGATTACACGCAGAGCGAGGTTTAGCTGCGCCTGTAATCTGCTTCTCTGCTTCGTAGAAAGCAGCTCGTATCCACGTCCATGCTGCGTGGGTCAGGCGGGAACGAATATATGTTTTGTAAATTCCAAGTTTGGTTTTTAACGACATCTTGGACGCCAGGACTGGGTAAAGCTTTGCTCTAGCTGCTCTGGTCTGTTGGACTGCAGTGGGCCCTCGAACTTGAGCAGCTTTCTGATGTGGGAGAAGTAGCCTGCTACGGCTAAACTCCCCAGTAGAGCTGCTACGATGTCTCTTATGACGTTGATGAGTTTAGGACAACCCGCAGCGGTCTTGCTGACTGCCGACTACACTGGCCGCAATGCAACTAAAATCCCCGGCCCATTTGTCACGGGGAGGGGCGAAATACGGTTCCGACACTACGGCCACTTGTATCATCAAGTGTTTTGAAAATTAGTTCAGGAAAAATAGTTGGTGGCTATTTATTTACTCATTGGGCATCGGTGTCCCCTCCCTGCTCTTAGTGGCCATTTGGGGTGCTATTTCCTCGTCTCCTCGGTTTGGAAAAGGTAGTGCAGCACTAGCTTCCTAGCTTATGGCCAGCAGATTTGCTCGGCAGGCAGCGCCTACTGGACAACTGATTATAAGCCCAGTTTTATCCCAGCCGAATTCCCTCTCCTTGGTTTTTTTATACGAAAAGTTGTCAAACGAGCAGACGGTTCACCTGATGTTAAGTGAATACCGCCGCCCATGGACATCTGCCACACCCGAGGGTTACAGATGCGTTGACAACCTTTTGAAAATTGGGCTCCGGCTACCTCACTCACCAGACGAAACGCGAAAGTATTTGTCATACTTCCACTTTACGCTGATCTTCTGTGAGGTCGTGGTACTTACCCGGACGGGCCTGCCCATTCGTGCAACAGCCGAAGCTGCTGCGTGGCCCTACCACCGTAAATCTCTTTCTCCCTCTCTCTCTCTCCTTGGTAGAGGTCACTAGTCATTCGCCGTATTTTGCGACAGCCTCAGTAACCTCTGCTTTTTACGCTGTATCATCCAGGCCTGATATGCACAAAACTGCACACTTCTCTAGCCTGGAGACTCTCACCCTCGACCAGCCCCCTTCCCCCCCCCCCCCTCCCCCACAAGCATCCAGAGAGGGCTCAACGAGCCCACCCAAATGTGTCCTGACATAATGTTATCTATTAAGTTTTACTTCTAGTACATGAAAGCTATTTTTTTTTATTTAATCATATTTGCACATATCCATAGTCCTCATCTAAAGAACAGCATTTACATTTGGTCTCGTCAAATAAAATCCTGAGAAAATAAAATGATTCAAAAAGTCACAAGTAGGTATCAAAAAAATCACACCTATCTTTTTAGTTCAATTAACATACATAACCTAGTGTTAAAAATAGTCGCTAAAGTTAAAAATATCTATTTAGGATGACGTTCGGTAACGCTGTTGCTTTTTATAGTAAAGATGGAATGAGAGGAACATGACAATAGATCATAAATAAAATCTAAAACAATGAAACTATGTGTGAACTAATAATACATCCAGAACTTCACTTTTTAGAAAAACTTTATACTTTGAATCAAAACCGGTTGCAATAAAAACAAATTTAACGTACTACATATAAATGCATGCTTTTGTTGGTATACGATATGTGGCTTACAAGCATTATAATATTATTATTAAGCATTTATTTTAGTATATAGGATAATGATGTGCTAATATTTATGGTATATATATATATTTTTTTTTAAATAAATATATATATTTAGTGCAATTAATAATAATGTACAAATACATTTTACTTAAAGTGTACCGAAGTCATGAATATCATATTACGTCTTTATCATTAATCTATTACGCATATTCTACATAAATTTCATACAATACTTTTAAAATACTGGCAACTATGCGAGGGATTGCCAGTGTTACTATTTCAATGATACGTTCAAAAGTAATAAAACGCGCTCGATATCCCTGTTTATTTTATTGACCACTCGCCAGATGTTTGCGCATTGTTTTTCAGTGCGCAGTAGTTTCTCTGTCGTGAAATCGGGAATCTGTTTTAGTATAATATCTATTCTGCCATTTTGAAAATAGTGGCGTGTATGGATTAGACCTAGTGTTTTTTATGTGACAAATATGTCCGGGAGCAATGATAAAGTGTCGACTACGCAGCGTATGATTCAAAGTGTTGCTTTCCCTCCCAGCCACAAGCTCACAGTATCTGAAGTATTCGATGAAAAAACTGGAAAACCTATACCAGATGTACTGAAGCAACATTTTATCTTAGAGGGTCGGATTGAGGAAAATGCAGCTTTGCGCATCATCCAAGATGGTGCCACCTTATTACGATCAGAAAAAACTATGATCGAGATTGATTCACCGGTGACTGTGTGCGGAGACGTCCATGGCCAGTTTTATGATTTGATGAAACTGTTCGAGGTGGGAGGCTCGCCTTCGTGCACCAAGTATTTATTCTTAGGTGATTATGTCGACCGAGGTTATTTTAGTATAGAATGTGTTCTCTACCTCTGGGCTTTGAAGTTATGCTATCCGAAGACATTATTTCTGTTACGCGGTAATCATGAATGCCGACATTTGACAGAGTACTTCACTTTCAAACAGGAATGCAAAATTAAGTATTCCGAGAAAGTGTATGATGCTTGTATGGAGGCTTTTGACTGCTTACCCCTTGCTGCTCTTATGAACCAGCAGTTCCTATGTGTACATGGCGGGCTCTCCCCTGAAATTAACAGCTTAGATGATATTCGGAAACTAGATAGATTCAAAGAACCACCAGCATTTGGTGCAATGTGTGACCTCCTTTGGTCTGATCCCCTTGAGGACTTTGGCAATGAAAAAAATGCTGAACATTTCTCGCACAACTCTGTAAGAGGTTGTTCCTATTTTTACAGCTATGCAGCCTGTTGTGATTTTCTACAGAGAAATAATTTGCTATCTATTATAAGGGCCCATGAGGCACAGGATGCAGGATATCGGATGTATCGTAAAAGTCAAACTACTGGTTTTCCAAGTCTTATTACTATATTTTCTGCTCCCAATTATTTGGATGTCTATAATAATAAAGCTGCTGTTTTAAAGTATGAAGACAATGTCATGAACATCAGACAATTCAACTGCTCACCACACCCATACTGGCTGCCAAACTTTATGGATGTGTTCACTTGGTCTCTTCCATTTGTTGGTGAAAAGGTAACAGAAATGCTGGTCAATGTATTAAATATTTGTTCTGATGATGAGCTAATGTCTGAAGGAGATGATGCATTGGAGGAAGCTAATCTCAGGAAAGAAGTTATACGTAACAAGATTCGTGCTATTGGTAAAATGGCTCATGTATTCTCTGTTCTTCGTGAAGAGAGTGAATCAGTTCTGCAGCTCAAAGGTTTAACTCCAACTGGTGCACTACCTCTGGGTGCACTTTCTGGTGGTAAAACATCTCTTAAAAATGCTTTGCAAGGTTTCTCTCCCAACCATAAGATAACCTCATTTGCTGAAGCAAAAGGTCTTGATGCTATCAATGAGCGTATGCCACCAAGGCGAGATGGTCAACGTACTCCTGACACCCAAGACAAAAAAGCACATGTGAACAGCAATGCACATTCGTGAAGTGCTATCCTGATTTTCTCTTCAATCCTTACTTTTTGATCCACTATTTTAGTGATAGTGAAATATTTGTGAAGGAGACTCAGCTTTTGGAATGATATTTCACATTCATAATAACTGGGTGGATTTGAAGGGAATTGTCATTATAGATACTAAATATTTTTAAATTTGGATTTAACAATTTTTCAATAGTTGAACTTAAAATTTCTCTTAAGATATTACCTCTCGATATTTAAAATACATCAGATCTGCAGGCAACAAATTTATTTAGTCAATTAAATAATAAGGTATGCACATTTATTTATAAAGCGCTGCACTGTTTTAATTTTGGTGATGTAATTTTAAATTTTTCATATGAAAAGACATGATATTGTATTGTACATTTTTTCAGATTGTCTACTAATTATACTCTACATTGTTATCTACATTAGTGAAAATTAGACATGTCTTTAATTTTCAAAGCATAATTAGCTGTGATATTAAGCAATGATCAATGTATAATTTAATAGCGATCTGCTAGTGAAGTACAGGCATGTTCATTGGCTAATCATGCATTGAAATATGTGAAGTGGTGAAGTTCTCAGCTTGGATGTGTCTTTATATTCTATTAAGTAATAAAATTAATTATGTACTATAGTGTGCAGCACATGGTGTATTGTTGCCGTGCGTGTGTGCTGTGTAAATATGCCCTGTGCGTACACACACGTTATTGCAGCTTTAACACTTGAGATAAATATTACTCTCTTTAATATCTTTGCTACAAGTTGTACTTAATTGTATTTTATTGTACAAAATATATTAAAATTATTATCTATGAACTATTACTATACTTAAAATAATTTATATTTGGATGTATGTCGGCTCCTTGTTGCCTGCGTGCAGCTGAACTTGTATGCTGGAACATCACATATAAAATTTCTTAGTCTTAATGTTTCGGTATATAAGGTGTAGCGGCTAGTCTAATCGCAGATTTTCTTACAGCTTATATTCCAAATTTCACTTATATAATAATGTTTAATAACCTGTGCACTGTTGGAAAATCTCTTTTGGTCTACCAAATAATTTTTAATCAATGCAATAAGTTCATATTGTGAATACTAAAAAGTGGCTTACATAATTTTTCAAGTCAATACTGTATAAGTATTTTATCTCAATTCAGTGTGTAGTCCTTCATATGTTCTCTACTTTAAAATAAATTTTACCTATGTAAAAAACTAACAATATATTTAATTTTTATTTTGTACTAATCATGGGAAGTGTTGTTTTATCCTTATAAAATATATTAACATTGAGCTCCATATATTATAGTTTTAATAAATCCTTTTCAAAAACTTTTAAATGTTTCTAGAAGTACTTAAATGTGGAGCTAGTTGTTTCTAAAGAGAAAAATTCGGTCCAGATAATTAATGTATAAATTTCTGATAAAAAAAGTAAATATCTGTCATTACAAAATAATAGTCCCCTTGAAAAAACATGTTTTCAATGTTTTATAAGAACATCAAGAAGACGTAACATTTGGCTATAAAATCTATAAATGACGACCTGTTAAAAATTTCTGCATGAAGCAGTGCACATGTTCTTAGTTGAATCTGCTGAAGACACAACTTATAGTCATCGGTTCGTCTAGAATGTTGAGTAAGACGAATTTGCAACTAATTCCAAAAGTTGACTGACTGAAATTTTGTCTCTATTAATCAAACTGTTAAGAATCTGGGAAGTTTGATAAAATCTTATCCTAGGGATCTCAGCTGCAAGAGGTTAGTCGCAAGGTATTGGCCTCTGCAGCATCCTTGAGGAAATTACGTAATTTCTTACCAACAGCCACCAAAGTTGCTACTGCTCAAAGTCTACTTCTCCCCATTCTCAACTATGCTGACGTCAGCTATCTGGACTTAACCGAGGAGCAACTTGATAAGCTTGAACGTATCCAAAATTTGTGTATGATTCATATCTGGCTTACGTAAATATGATCATGTCTCACATTTCCGTTCTAAGCTCAAGTGGTTATCCATTCGACTTCGCCGGAATGCTCATATACTCTACCCTCTTTACAACGTTCTGTTTAATCCTTCGTATCTCTTTTACTTAAAGAAACTTTTCGAGTTTTTACAACGAATCCCATCCGCATCTTCTGAGGTCATGAGAAAATTTAAAATTAAAAATACCTGCTCACAAAACAAAATTTATAGCTAAGTCCTTTATGGTTCAAGGTGCGAAATTATGGAATGCCCTACCACTGGAGGTGAGACGTGCTCAGTCACTTTCCACTTTTAAAAACCTTGTCCAGAGTCACTATTCGTCACTAAATCTGGTTTAGGTATAGAATGTATTGTGTTTATGGATATATGTATACATGATATAAATATATATATATATATTTATTTAGGTATTTATGTACTAATTTATTAATTTTTTATAACAAAGTATGTATTTATCTTATAAAATTTGTAAAATTTTACCCATACCCCTAAAATACTCTTCATATTATGTCCACCCAAAGTTTGCCTGGAAGAAATTGCTTTAAGTAGTAAGGCCGACCATTGTACAACCCTTACATAATTGTTATTTTTAATGTAGGTATTCTTTTTTACCATGGTGTGTGCAATAACTAATATTCATTCATTCATTCAACAGATTTACGTGCTTAAGAACATGTGACGCGATTACCAAACCTTTGCTAAAAATTGTTGGTTATTTAACAAAAATACATTTAGCTAAATGTTGGGCATACGGTGCGAGTTAAAATATACACGCAATGATATCTACGTATCACGCAATGAAATCCTTACTACATAACTAATATTATAAACCCGAAAGTTTGTATGTATGGATGGATGTTTGTTACTCTTTGACGCTTATACTACTGAATGGATTTTAATGAAACTACAATAATATAGCTTATTCATCAGAATAACACAGGCTATAATTTATATACATATTTTTATGTACATCTATCTGTCTTTCCGTCTGAATGTTACGCCTTCAGCCTGTTCTATGCAGACGTAGTCGCGGGCAGCAGCTATTATTTTATAAACTTGAAGATTTTTTGTGACGGTGGTAAATATAAATTAAAAAATGCTATAAAATTAGGTTGTGAATTGAACTTCTGTACACTATTCGCTTCTGTTCGAAATTTAATAAGTGTAGTTTTTATTTTTATCATTACAGAATATGTATTCAAGTGAAAATTTCAACATGGCACGAAAAAACGTATCTTGTGGAGAACAAAACAGCTTCGTTGCGTTAGTCAGTTTAAATATTTATTTTTAGCATGCCCGCAAATTCGGCGACACCCAACCGCGACAAGCGTAACCCGTACTAATATTTGTAATAACCGAGATTCCCTACATCGAGTTAACTCACAAATTATCCCGCTTTGATTAAATTTCATCCTTCTATTCATCTTATAATCGCTTCATTAGTATCGTAATATTTATTTTTGTCAGCAAACAATGCTTACATTTTGTATTACGTGCACTACTTAAAATTCATAAGCCGTGACATAATTTATGCTCATTAAAAATGAAGGAAACGAGTATGAAGCTACTGTACTGTAGCTGTTTTGTCTAAATAGCGATAGATGTTTCAATAGCCTTCACGTAGAAAAGACAAAGCGTGATTATTTCTGTGCTATAGGTATACTCGTCGGTGCCAGAGAACGTGATAACATTTGTGCAAAATTTAAATCGACAGAAATCACAGTGTTACGGCTATAAATAAATAATAAGTTTATTCATGTTTATTTTACTTCAAAAAACTTGTTTTATAACAGGTGATTGAGAGAGGGGCATAGGGGTCAAAACCTGACGAAAATCCTGGATATATTTCATTTGATAAGGCCTCTTGCTTAAATCTTACATTTTCCTATCTCGAACTGATCGTAATGAGAAAATAGATTATAAACTAATATTCAAAAGTCATAAAACAATCTAAACCATTTTGCACTTTACATGTATGCTTGAATCTCATTTGCCAGCAGGATCTACGTCTGTTTTTTACTATTTTTTACGTTATAATAGTAAAAAACATACAACAATACGAACTTGATATGTTAAGAAAGTGCAAGCAGGCTCATTGTTCATAAAAATATTGAAAATAATCAAACTATTGCAAATAACTGCTTGACAATAATTATGCTCGATCTTAGCAAAACTGCTGTAACACGGTTGTAAAGAATTTCAGATTCTATTAATAAGCTCAGACGGTATTAACAAACGTTTGTTCTACTAAAAGAGCCAACAAAATATACCTATCCCTTCATTATTTTAAAGATTAAAGTTTCCTTTACCTATATACTAACTTCACTGTAAAATTTATGTATCTTGGCTAAGCATTTAATATAAAACTGACCTATATTTTGAAAAATTATGACAAATTCATTAACCAGAATATTTGTATACAATTTGGACTGTTGAACAACTTGTCATATCAAAGCAAAATAAAAAAAATGTTCATGTATGACGAAAGGATATATTTTTTGCAATCTAGCTGGAAGAAATCTAGCTATAGCTAGTACCTACCTATATTACATACACCTGTCTCCACACCGTGCAGATGTGATGTGCAGTCCAATCTTTAAAAAGTGTAGACTCCTGTTACCACTTTCATCAGAAGAATTGCAAAAATAGTACTTCCCTCGACAGTGAAGCTTTAATACGAGCATGGCTACTCATGCAACAAACAGAAAAAGCTGTTGCGTGGTTCAAGCACAGTAACATTTATATATAGTTCACAAAGATTTTTCTTGTACCAATTTCACTGATAATTAACTGAGACTCCTTGGCCTATTATTCTAGTTATTTTTCCAATTACTTGCTTATTTGAAAATAAAGCGCGTTCGCTCACTAGGTAACATATTAAAATTTAAATGTGATCAAGAGATGCATTTAATTAATTTTTTCGTAACCTTTTTCACGCTATATAAAAATAGCGGCCGTCGGTATCATCTAGCAAACAAGACAACTGTAAACAGTTGTGTGTCTTTGTATGCGATTAAACGA